CCCAGCTAAGCTTAGGGTCTTGGACCATCGCTGGTTTAGTCCTGGTCACTACAATACTGGGTATTGACCAGGCCAATACCTCAGTTGTGTCCGACGTCAACACGTCACCGCAGGAACTGAAGTCACTGTCCTCTTGAGCGAGGACATCACTGTGGCACAGTTGCTGGTTAATGGCTGGACCATTAACTGTGTCATCGTCTGTGGCACAGTTAATGGTCCAGCATGGTCGTACCGTGGAGTCAGGTCTACCGTCTGATTGGACGACCTGCGACGACAGCAGAAGAGGTCGTCTTCCCTAAGAACATTGAGGAAAGACGACCTCCGTCTAGACGTCATTTCCCAGTTTCCGTAGAATTACCCACACTGCTCCAGCGACCATATAATGTGACAGATGTCCGTCACCTGTCCGTCAGTACCTGGCGGGCCGTCACTTACCCGTCGCCACGGAGGCACCTTTAATGACAAGACCACACACTAGAAGGTGAAGGGACGACGACGTTACGGTCCGTCCTGGACCATTCTCAAGTCGATTGTGACTCGACTTGAGAATGGTTCAGGACGGACCGAAACGTCGTCGTCCCTTCACCTTCTAGTGTGTGGTCTGGTCAACTTTCTTTAGCCGCGTTATTGTGACTCCTCGCCTGTACAAGGGGACACCAGTTACATGACGACCCCAGGTGTGGTCGCGACGACCCCAGGTGTGGTCGCGACGACCCCAGGTGTGGTCGCGACGACCCCAGGTGTGGTCGCGACGACCCCAGGTGTGGTCGCGACGACCCCAGGTGTGGTCGCGACGACCCCAGGTGTGGTCGCGACGACCCCAGGTGTGGTCGCGACTACCCCAGGTGTGGTCGCGACGTCCCCAGGTGTGGTCGCGACGTCCCCAGGTGTGGTCGCGACGACCCCAGGTGTGGTCGCGACGACCCCAGGTGTGGTCGCGACGACCCCAGGTGTGGTCGCGACGACCCCAGGTGTGGTCGCGACGTCCCCAGGTGTGGTCGCGACGACCCCAAGTGTGGTCGCGACGACCCCAGGTGTGGTCGCGACGTCCCCAGGTGTGGTCGCGACGACCCCAGGTGTGGTCGCGACGACCCCAGATGTGGTCGCGACGTCCCCAGGTGTGGTCGCGACGACCCCAGGTGTGGTCGCGACGTCCCCAGGTGTGGTCGCGACGACCCCAGGTGTGGTCGCGACGACCCCAGGTGTGGTCGCGACGACCCCAGGTGTGGTCGCGACGTCCCCAGGTGTGGTCGCGACGACCCCAGGTGTGGTCGCGACGACCCCAGGTGTGGTCGCGACGTTCCCAGGTGTGGTCGCGACGACCCCAGGTGTGGTCGCGACGACCCCAGGTGTGGTCGCGACGACCCCAGGTGTGGTCGCGACGACCTCAGGTGTGGTCGCGACGACCTCAGGTGTGGTCGCGACGACCTCAGGTGTGGTCGCGACGACCATTCTCACACCCAGTCATCTCTGGCTGATGTGTATGAGGCAGGTCAGTCATCAGCATCATTCGATAATTACTTGATTGTTGTCTAAGATTGTTACATTGTCTTCAGTGTAACAAGCTTGGCTTCGCCTGGACGTCATCTTTTGATAATAACTTTTTGTTTAAGTTTGATGGTCCTGTGACATCACAAGAACACAATGTGTCTATGAGAAAATATCGAGGCTATTAAATGGGATCGAACCCGCACTCCTGGAGTCCCACGGCGCACGTACTACCGACTGCGCCATGATGAGCTCAGGCACTTTATAGTCTGATCTGAGACTGTTCCAAGCAGGAAATTAGGATAAGGATTAAGATACAATTAAATTGTGGTTGTTTCATATATTAACCCAAGAGAGACTACCTAGAAGCGGCTCAGTGAGTATAGCGGATGATTCAGTATGATATTCCTCTGTTAAATCATTATAAGGATAATATATGGGCCAAAACTGAGCCCAGCCGTTGGCCAGTTAAGAGAGCAGTTAGTTTAGGGAAGGTGATGGTTACAGTCAGTAGACTGTGTTAGTGTTGACGATGAGGCATAATGATTAGTTTATTGGAAGGTTGGGTAGAGTGGATGTGGAGGGTGGCATCCACCTGGGTCGTGTGGACATTGTGGTGGCATGTTGGCCCTGTGTCCGGGTGCTGTGTCCACACCCACTTGTCCACACGCTCTTGTCCACACGCTCTTGTCCACACCCTCTTGTCCACACGCTCTTGTCCACACGCTCTTGTCCACACGCTCTTGTCCACACGCTCTTGTCCACACGCTCTTGTCCACACGCTCTTGTCCACACCCTCTTGTCCACACGCTCTTGTCCACACGCTCTTGTCCACACGCTCTTGTCCACACGCTCTTGTCCACACGCTCTTGTCCACACGCTCTTGTCCACTCGCTCTTGTCCACACCCTCTTGTCCACACGCTCTTGTCCACACGCTCTTGTCCACACGCTCTTGTCCACACGCTCTTGTCCACACGCTCTTGTCCACACGCTCTTGTCCACACCCTCTTGTCCACACGCTCTTGTCCACACGCTCTTGTCCACACGCTCTTGTCCACACGCTCTTGTCCACACGCTCTTGTCCACACGCTCTTGTCCACACGCTCTTGTCCACACGCTCTTGTCCACACGCTCTTGTCCACACCCACTTGTCCACACCCTCTTGTCCACACGCTCTTGTCCACACGCTCTTGTCCACACCCTCTTGTCCACACGCTCTTGTCCACACGCTCTTGTCCACACGCTCTTGTCCACACCCTCTTGTCCACACGCTCTTGTCCACACCCTCTTGTCCACACGCTCTTGTCCACACCCTCTTCACACCCTCTTGTCCACACGCTCTTGTCCACACGCTCTTGTCCACACGCTCTTGTCCACACCCTCTTGTCCACACCCTCTTGTCCACACCCTCTTGTCCACACGCTCTTGTCCACACCCTCTTGTCCACACGCTCTTGTCCACACGCTCTTGTCCACACGCTCTTGTCCACACGCTCTTGTCCACACCCTCTTGTCCACACCCACTTGTCCACACGCTCTTGTCCACACCCTCTTGTCCACACACTCTTGTCCACACCCTCTTGTCCACACGCTCTTGTCCACACGCTCTTGTCCACACCCTCTTGTCCACACCCTCTTGTCCACACGCTCTTGTCCACACACTCTTGTCCACACGCTCTTGTCCACACGCTCTTGTCCACACCCTCTTGTCCACACCCACTTGTCCACACGCTCTTGTCCACACCCTCTTGTCCACACGCTCTTGTCCACACCCTGTTGTCCACACGCTCTTGTCCACACCCTCTTGTCCACACCCTCTTGTCCACACACTCTTGTCCACACCCTCTTGTCCACACGCTCTTGTCCACACGCTCTTGTCCACACGCTCTTGTCCACACGCTCTTGTCCACACCCTCTTGTCCACACCCTCTTGTCCACACGCTCTTGTCCACACCCTCTTGTCCACACGCTCTTGTCCACACCCTCTTGTCCACACCCACTTGTCCACACCCTCTTGTCCACACACTCTTGTCCACACCCTCTTGTCCACACACTCTTGTCCACACCCTCTTGTCCACACGCTCTTGTCCACACGCTCTTGTCCACACGCTCTTGTCCACACCCTCTTGTCCACACGCTCTTGTCCACACGCTCTTGTCCACACCCTCTTGTCCACACGCTCTTGTCCACACGCTCTTGTCCACACGCTCTTGTCCACACACTCTTGTCCACACGCTCTTGTCCACACGCTCTTGTTCACACCCTCTTGTCCACACCCACTTGTCCACACGCTCTTGTCCACACCCTCTTGTCCACACGCTATTGTCCACACCCTCTTGTCCACACGCTCTTGTCCACACCCTCTTGTCCACACCCTCTTGTCCACACGCTCTTGTCCACACCCTCTTGTCCACACCCTCTTGTCCACACCCACTTGTCCACACGCTCTTGTCCACACGCTCTTGTCCACACGCTCTTGTCCACACCCACTTGTCCACACCCTCTTGTCCACACCCTCTTGTCCACACGCTCTTGTCCACACGCTCTTGTCCACACGCTCTTGTCCACACGCTCTTGTCCACACCCTCTTGTCCACACCCTCTTGTCCACACGCTCTTGTCCACACGCTCTTGTCAACACGCTCTTGTCCACACGCTCTTGTCCACACCCTCTTGTCCACACCCTCTTGTCCACACGCTCTTGTCAACACGCTCTTGTCCACACCCTCTTGTCCACACCCACTTGTCCACACGCTCTTGTCCACACCCTCTTGTCCACACCCTCTTGTCCACACGCTCTTGTCCACACGCTCTTGTCCACACGCTCTTGTCAACACGCTCTTGTCCACACCCTCTTGTCCACACGCTCTTGTCCACACGCTCTTGTCCACACGCTCTTGTCAACACGCTCTTGTCCACACGCTCTTGTCCACACGCTCTTGTCCACACGCTCTTGTCCACACGCTCTTGTCCAGACAGTTTAATGTGACTCTTAGTAACATCCTTTTGGATTGGATTGTTCCGTGGCTCGTCTATCTAATCACTCCATATATGGAAGCTGATTAGAATTACATTTCACCTTTGTGAATGTACATTAACGACACTATGTAAAAGACACATCTAACACTTTATGTAGGGCATACGTAAATCTGTGTATCTATGTATTTACGTATGTAGGTTAGCTTAGCATTTTAAAAGCACCGAATCACCTTCTGTGGTTGAGTGTTCAATAAACCCTTGAACTATATGTTTAACACTTCTCTAACCCTGTCCATGGAGGACAGAAGAAAATGTATATATGCTGGTTAGCATTGTAAATGTCTGGCCACGTCTGTGGTAGAAAATAATAAAAAAAAAATAAAAAAATCACTCCAGGAGAGGCAATATTCTCCGGATGACGGAGACGCTTTAGTCCAATCACCAGATTGGTTGATTGGATCCCACCTTGGAACCTTGGTGTTCCTAATTATGTTCTCAGACGAGGCATCTTAGTGCTGACGAGACAGTCAAGTGAAGGCTTTTACAGCTTTATTTTGCATTTCTTCATTACTTCAACAACAGCAAAGGACGGGCTTAAGAGATAAGGTGTTCAGAGCTCATATGAACTCTGAACACCTTTTATGAAGTGTTCAGAGCTCATATAAGGTGTTGAGAGCTCATATATGGTGTTCAGAGTTTATATGAACTCTTAACACCTTTTATGAAGTGTTCAGAGCTCATATAAGGTGTTGAGAGCTCATATATGGTGTTCAGAGTTTATATGAACTCTTAACACCTTTTTATGAAGTGTTCAGAGCTCCTATAAGGTGTTCAGAGCCCATATAAAGTGTTCAGAGCTTATATAAGATGCTCAGAGTTCATATAAGAGCTCAGAATGTAGGTCTGATGGTGACGAGGAGGTCCTGGGTCTTGGGGGCGTGAGTGAAGAACACCTCCCGGTCGTAGTGGAGGTCAACAGTCTTGTTGAGCGGGGCAGAGAAGCTGAGACTCTGGAAGACTGTGGTGGTGAAGATGAAGAGCTCCATCCTGGCTAGACCCTCCCCAAGACACGACCGCTTCCCTGCAAGTGATCGACAGTTAAATGAACAAATCCACAAGGGCCGTGACGAGGATTCGAACCTGCGTCCGGGAGCATCCCAGACACTGCCTTAATCGACTGAGCTACGACAGGGTAAAGGGAGATCACGTTAGTGTGATCGGAAGTTAAGTGTCGACGAGGTTTAGTCACCATCGTTCTCAGTCTTTCTCATATTTGTCTTCGCCTCACTGCTCCTGTAACTCCCTGTAACTTTATAGTTTGCCTGAAATCTTCCACAAATCCTTCACTTCAACACAGTTTGAATGGCTCACGGGGCTCACCATAGCCCGTGCTACTTGGAACTTTTTGTTTCAAGTAGCGAGTCTTAAACAACAACAAACACTGAATGGAAACAATTACAGTTACAGTGAGCCTCTAGATCCTAATTGTTCTTGTTTTAATCTTTGCGTCTGACGCCCATGACATTTTGAACTATTGACTAATGAACTAACTTGAACTATTTTTTGTACTGTATTTTGATCTTTGCCTACAGCGGCTGTACCTTCAGTGAGCAAGTAATCTGATGGTATATCTTGAGGTTATCTTGAGATGATTTCGGGGCTTTAGTGTCCCCTCGGCCCGGTCCTCGACCAGGCCTCCACCCCCAGGAAGCAGCCCGTGACAGCTGACTAACACCCAGGTACCTATTTTACTGCTAGGTAACAGGGGCATAGGATGAAAGAAACTTTGCCCTTTGTTTCTCGCCGGCGCCTGGGATCGAACCCAGGACCACAGGATCACAAGTCCAGCGTGCTGTCCGCTCGGCCGACCGGCTCCCTAGTGAATTAAGACATTGAACAAATCCACAAGGGCCATAATGAGAGGTTCGAACCTGTGTGCTGGGTGTTCCCCAGACGCCCTCTAGTCCACTGTCCCACCACTTGGTACAATTCCCTTGTGAATCTGTTCATTGATACATCACGTTATTGTAACGTGTGTAATTAAGACATCTGTATGATTGAAGTGGTGTTACCACTTCATAGAAGTAACAACATAGAAGTAATGGTAATCTATGGTAACTTCTATAGTAACACCATAGAAGTTACTTCTATGGTGTTACCATAGAAGTAACTATAAGTGATGTTACTGTCACTCTAATTACAACTTTACTCATTATGTTGTTAAAATTGGTGCAAAAATACACCGTCTGTTGTTGTTGTTGTTCAAGATTCGCTACTTGGAACATAAAGTTCCAAGTAGCACGGCCTATGGTGAGCCCGTAGTTAAAAAATACAGCGCCGGTGGCACAATAATAGACTAGAGGACAAACAGTCTGATGGATCACTCACCGACGCCAAAGGGGAGGAAGCCTTCCTTCTTGGCCACGAATTTGCCGTCTTGGTCCAGCCAGCGCTCAGGCAGGAACTGCTCAGGACGGTCCCAGTAGCGGGGGTCGTGGTGGATATACTCCTGTGCGGTGCTCAGCACAGTACCCTGTTGGTACACAAGAGCATGACTACACTACTGTGCGGTGCTCAGCACAGTACCCTGTTGGTACACAAGAGCATGACTACACTACTGTGCGGTGCTCAGCACAGTACCCTGTTGGTACACAAGAGCATGACTACACTACTGTGCGGTGCTCAGCACAGTACCCTGTTGGTACACAAGAGCATGACTACACTACTGTGCGGTGCTCAGCACAGTACCCTGTTGGTACACAAGAGCATGACTACACTACTGTGCGGTGCTCAGCACAGTACCCTGTTGGTACACAAGAGCATGACTACACTACTGTGCGGTGCTCAGCACAGTACCCTGTTGGTACACAAGAGCATGACTACACTACTGTGCGGTGCTCAGCACAGTACCCTGTTGGTACACAAGGTCATAACTATACTACTGTGCAGTGCACAGTACCCTGTTGGTACACAATGACATAACTATATATAGAGAACATGTGCCATAACCTCTGACCATGACAAGCACTGTGCCCAACCACCTCCTGCTGGGCCTGACCTGGGCTGGCAGGAGGCGGAGAGGACTCAGCAAGGGGAGGAGAGTCGACCCACCTTGGGGATAGTGTAGGTCCCTAGGGTCGTGTCCCTGGTGGCCAGGTGCTGGACCCCGAAGGCGATCAGGGACGACTTCCTCAGCACCTCGTGGATGACCGCCTCTGTGTAGGGCATCCTGAGTGGCGCCGCCCACGGCCCACCAGGTGCATGAGGGAGAGGGAGAGTCAAAATAACATCCTCCAAGAATTCCTGATTTCATACCACATATGCAAAGGTCCCACAACTGCTCTCTTAGACGCGAGATAATGGGAGATAGGGAGAGAAGTAGAGAGGAAGAGAAGAAAATGAATGATTATTCTGCAAGTGAAGACAGAGAAAATGATATGCAATTCGATAACATGTCCTTGGAGAGGGATGTTAATCACCTGAGCTTATCGTCGAGGGTGGCCAGTGTTCCCTGTGGCAGCACTTGGTCTATCTCCGCCTGCAGCTTGTTCTGTACCTCGGGGTAGTTAGCCAGGTAGCAGAACAGCCAGGTCATACTAGTGGTGGTCGTCTCACTACCAGCCAGGAACAAGTCCACCAGCAGCAGGCTCAGGTCGTACTCTGGAACATGTTGGGAAAATTGTTGTTGGCACGTCTCGGATACCTGGGTACTTATCTAGTTGTGGTTAACTAGTTGTGCTTGCGTTGGTTGAGGTTTGGCTCTTTGGTCCCGCCTCTTAACTGTCAGTTAACTGGTGGACAGGTTTGTGTGATACCTGTGTGATATGGGTACCACTGTGAGGTACAGTCGTGGTCACTCACCACTGTGGGGTACAGGCGTGGTCACTCACCACTGTGGGGTACAGTCGTGGTCACTCACCACTGTGAGGTACAGTCATGATCACTCACCACTCTGGGCACAGTCATAGTCACTCACCACTGTGAGGTACAGTCATGATCACTCACCACTGTGAGGTACACTCATAGTCACTCACCACTGTGAGGTACACTCATAGTCACTCACCACTGTGAGGTACACTCATAGTCACTCACCACTGTGAGGTACAGTCATGATCACTCACCACTCTGGGTACAGTCATGATCACTCACCACTGTGAGGTACAGTCATGATCACTCACCACTGTGAGGTACACTCATAGTCACTCACCACTCTGGGTACAGTCATAGTCACTCACCACTGTGAGGTACACTCATGATCACTCACCACTGTGAGGTACAGTCATGATCACTCACCACTGTGGGTACACTCATAGTCACTCACCACTGTGAGGTACACTCATAGTCACTCACCACTGTGAGGTACACTCATAGTCACTCACCACTGTGAGGTACACTCATAGTCACTCACCACTGTGGGTACACTCATAGTCACTCACCACTGTTAGTACAGTCATGATCACTCACCACTGTGAGGTACAGTCATGGTCACTCACCACTGTGAGGTACAGTCATGGTCACTCACCACTGTGAGGTACAGTCATGATCACTCACCACTGTGAGGTACAGTCATGATCACTCACCACTGTGAGGTACAGTCGTGGTCACTCACCACTGTGAGTACAGTCATGGTCACTCACCACTGTGAGGTACAGTCATGGTCACTCACCACTGTGGGTACAGTCATGGTCACTCACCACTGTGAGGTACAGTCATGGTCACTCACCACTGTTAGTACACTCATGGTCACTCACCATTGAAGGAATCATCAGGCTCGTCCTTCCTCTTGTCAATCTCAATCAGGTAACCATCAATCAAGTCCCGAGGGTTGTTAACGTCCAGCGTTGTTCGGTGCTCCTCAATCAAGGTCTGCAACACAGACCTTGATGACCTACAACACCACTTCTCAACTCTTCTGGCAAGACGTAGCCACCAGTGACCAAGATCAAGCCCACACTAACAGGCAAGACGTAGCCACCAGTGACCAAGATCAAGCCCACACTAACAGGCAAGACGTAGCCACCAGTGACCAAGATCAAGCCCACACTAACAGATAAGTGGATGCACTGTTACAGAATTTGAAGGCATCTTTATGACATTAATTATCAGGTTATATTAGTTACATTGAGCTCCAGAAGATGGGGGAACAGAGGCATGAGGTGCTGGGACATCTGTCTTCACCAAACCCTAAATGGTTTAGATCTATCTGTCTATCTGACCATCAATACATCCGTCTATACCTGCATTTCTGCATGCATTTATCCATCTATCTCTACATCTATCTATCCACCTGAATTTTTATGTATCTATCCATTTATTTTTCTATCTATCTATATATCCATCCACCTATCTATCCACCCGTCCATCTGTCTATCCATCCATCAAGTCATCATTTCTATTCATATTCTCCCTTCAGTAACTGATGAAAGTTATCGGTAAACTCTACATTTCTCACTCAGTTTAGTGTCACACAGTGAAAATCGGACGTTGTGGCAAGGTTTCACGCCAATATTTCTTAAAGCATTTAGCTTAGGCCTATCTCAACCGGCCTATGTTCGTCCCGAACCCCTGACCATTCCCTCTGCAAATTTTGGTGACGCTGGCCCTAAGCATCTGGCCTCCAACTTTGGACAAACAAACAGACAGATTTTCTTTGCTTAAAGTATTGATATATTGTATTGTTTTGCTTGTATTGTTTACATGCTTTATTATATGAGAAATGTGGCTTTTGTTGAACACTGATAGTTATGAACTGATTTAATTTCTTATGTCAAGGTAATTTTATTCCTAATTTTAGTTTCATGATAAATTTGTGGCACTTAAGTTACCGATTAATTAGACAATTCATTGATAAGATTAAGCTAATATTAGTCTGATTACAAATGCATGATGACATTGAGTTGATTATTGATGTTAAACTGATTGGTCGGTTTTATCAGTTAAAGAATCAGTGTTTGAATACTAGTATTCACTCAGGAGTTTAGTAAAGTCTCAGGAGAGTTAATTGGAGTTAGTTACAAAGTTATAGCCTGATGTAATTGTTCTGTTATAGGGGGATTTTATAGTTATTATTGTTAAATATTTTATTATTTATTGTATTGTATATCATGCAAGTAAAGCTTATTTTGTTTAGAAAGCTTAAACATGTTGTTTATCTTATCCAATCTCTTCCATCTGACGTCTTGGATGTGGTAAGATAAGATTGATAACCTTGAAGAATTTACAGCGTAAGTGGAACTACTTTAGAGGATTCAGAGGTGCCATAACTGCTTGTTAGAGGAGCTGGTGGTTGATCAAGTGAGGAGGGCGCGCATGTAATGACCACGAAAATCTACTGTAGTTACGTTACAGTCGAACTAAGCTAATGTTGCTTCCAAGATTGTTGACGTTCTGAGACGAGCAGCTGTGGAGCCCCAAGTGGGTGGTTCGTGTTGAGTAAGTTGTTAAGACCTTACTCTCTTGCGTGTGGTGGCGCACACTGTAAGAGTTTTGGTAAGAGTTCCAGCCCACACTTACGATGTGTAAGAGTTCCAGCCCACACTTACGATGTGTAAGAGTACCACACTTAGGATTTCCAGGAGTAGCCTCTGATCATACTTACATTGAAGTACTTCGTGAATCTTATCTTCATGTCTTCGAGTAAGTCTCTACGGAAGAAGGACCTTGCGAAGGTCCTCGGGAGGACCTTCTCCAGCCAGGGCATCAGGTCCGTCAGGCCCAGCCGGAATGAGGCCTTCAGCAAGTCCTTAGTGAGCTCTTGAAACTTCTCCAACCTTGGATCATGATGTTCAAACTGTTTACCTGTGGAGAGGTACGAGAGTTTGTATGGCCCTAAGCCTCGAAGAAGAAGATATGCAGCACATATAAATAATTTGCAATGCAGTAACTTGTAGTTACTGACCATTGACCATCTGCCAGATAACATTAACCACTGCTACATGCAAGGCGTGCGGGACAGGCGCCGGCCTGTTGGCTTGTTTCTTGAGCTGTTCAACCAGGCTAGAGGCTTGGTGTTGAATAGCCTCCACCAGGAGCGACTTGCCCATCCCCATATCCCTCAGTAGACGCAAGGTGAACCGCCTATTCTTCTGCCACACAAACCCATTGCTACCTATCACACCTGCAACAGCCGGGAGACAAGACTTAAAAACAATGTTTATTAAAGCCTTTATACAATGTCTTGGAACACAAATGGACCGTTTTTGCATCAATAAAGACTAACATATCTTACACACACGGGGGGACTGATAAGATAAGGGTATAAGATAAGATAAGGTACTAACCAACTTCCTTTGTCGAGCCCAAGTTGAGTAGCTTCCAGTTGGGTCTATCGACGAAGTCTTCGGTCCTGTTGTGTGCTTCCTTGACCAGGAGGTAGTCGTGTAGGACCACCACCACCTGGGTCCCCATCCTCCACCTGTCCCAACCACAGCCCTTGTTAACCTTTGACCTCAGTCAGTGACCTCTCACAGCCCTTGTTAACCTTTGACCTCAGCCAGTGACCTCCTACAGCCCTTGTTAACCTTTGACCTCAGTCAGTGACCTCCCACAGCCTTTGTTAAACTTTGACCTCAGTCAGTGACCTCTCACAGCCCATCTTATCCTTACCGTTGTTATCATGGCTACTCATGTAGGACTACCCATGCTGGACTACCCATCCAGGACTACCCCATACAGGACTACCCCATACAGGACTACCCCATACAGGACTACCCATGCTGGACTACCCATGCTGGACTACCCATACAGGACTACCCCATACAGGACTACCCATGCTGGACTACCCATCCAGGACTACCCATACAGGACTACCCCATACAGGACTACCCATGCTGGACTACCCATCCAGGACTACCCATGCTGGACTACCCATCCAGGACTACCCATACAGGACTACCCATCCAGGACTACCCATACAGGACTACCCCATACAGGACTACCCATGCTGGACTACCCATACAGGACTACCCCATACAGGACTACCCATGCTGGACTACCCATCCAGGACTACCCATACAGGACTACCCCATACAGGACTACCCATGCTGGACTACCCATCCAGGACTACCCATACAGGACTACCCCATACAGGACTACCCATGCTGGACTACCCATCCAGGACTACCCATACAGGACTACCCCATACAGGACTACCCATGCTGGACTACCCATCCAGGACTACCCATACAGGACTACCCCATACAGGACTACCCATGCTGGACTACCCATACAGGACTACCCCATACAGGACTACCCATGCTGGACTACCCATGCAGGACTACCCATACAGGACTACCCACGCAGGACTACCCATGCTGGACTACCCATCCAGGACTACCCATGCAGGACTACCCATGCAGGACTACTCATGCTGGACTACCCATCCAGGACTACCCATGCAGGACTACCCATGCAGGACTACTCACACATAGATGTCACCATATTGTTTATGCATGTAGCTCAGGTGTTCAGACAGGGACTTCATAGTCACTGGGATGTAGCCAATCAGAGGAAGGCCCCATCGTCCTGTTGAGTACACACGTACAAAATAGTTATCATCATCTACATTATCTATAGTTAACATCAAGGTATCTATAGTTATAGCAGCAAATGTTTAAACACTAACCATGGTGCAGTTTGGAGAGCTTGTAAAGTCTAAATGATTAAACTGAGGTTTTTTCGGCATTAAAAACTTAAATCGTTCTAAATTAAGTGAAAAAATTATGCTTTGGACTCTAATGGAATTCAGTCAAATTTTGCGTGGTGTTAATGAGCCTTTAAGGTTAAGGTCTTAAGCTACCGGGGGCCGGGACCCCTTAAACTAAGGGGGTGAGAAGAGCCTTAAACTTACACAAGTGTGTCTCTGAGGTGGTTAGCTGTACTGATTAATACACTACAATGAGGCACATTAGGTGTAGTGAAGCTGTTACAATGATGTTATTGATCTCTAGTCACCCCCCTGGGTGAGTGTCACCCCCCTGGGTGAGTGTCACCTCCCTAGGTGAGTGTCACCCCCCGGGTGAGTGTCACCCCCCGGGTGGGTGTCACCCCCCTGGGTGAGTGTCACCCCCCTGGGTGAGTGTCACCTGGGGAGGTGACAGTCACCTACACAAGACCTGGTGACGTACCCGGGGGCATGCCAGCGGGCACCTTGAAGTAGTGCCAGAGGAGGAGGGCCAGAGCCACACACACCACAGCCTCCACCAGCATGTTGGACACCTTCTCAAGACGTGACTGACTGCTGCTGAGGACAATGTGAGAGGTTAATCTTACACCTGTCCCCAGGTTCGAGACCCCTGCAGGTAACATCTTTTAAACCCACTAATCTTCTAAAGTATGTAATTAGTGTTATTATCTACTTCTTATCTATAGTTAGGTTAGGTTTCGTTATATTTAGTTGCCTTAATACAATGTATTTTCTAAAATAAGTTAAATATGGTATACTTAAAATATTTGAGAATACCTATAATCTCATTTACAGAAAACCAAAAATCATCACACACTTTCAAAGAAAACTAGTTCAGCACATTTTTTTTTTTACATTTTAAACCTATGATTTATAATACAATAAAATTATAACCAGAATAATCTCTGCTGAGGATAAAGGTTCAGTTGCCAGTTTAAAATCAAATATAATTGGAACTGTAGTATGCTTTCAGACCATCACAAGCATCTAGATAACAATCCAGGTGGTTTGAGGGGGGGGGGGCGGGGGTTTGGTTCTCGTGCTAATGGATTTAATAAGAAATCGTGCTGTAATCTTGGGTATGGTTATTATTATTCTGAGAGTATACAGAATGATAATATTTGTTGGATGGTACAAGGTTGTGAACTTCACCTCCTTCCACGACTTTAAGGCCAAGTTCGTCAGAGAATTTTTACGTCAAAGTAGTTCAGCTGTAAGGCAACAGGTGGGATAAGACCGGTAGGCGAGGCATGGAGGCTGCACCTCACTTACCCTGGAGACAATTAGGGAAGCACTCACACACACACACACACGCACACACACACACACACACACACACACACACACACACACACACACACACACACACACACACACACACACACACACACAAACACACACACACACACACACACACAGTAGTTAACAGGTGGAATGCATTAGGCAGTGATGTGGTGGAGGCTGACTCCATACACAGTTTCAAATGTAGATATGATAGAGCCCAATAGGCTCAGGAACCTGTACACCTGTTGATTGACAGTTGAGAGGCGGGACCAAAGAGCCAGAGCTCAACCCCTGCAAGCACAAATAGATGAATACACACACACACACACACACACACACACACACACGAACCTCTGAAGAGTCAACTAACACAACACTTGTACCCGCTATTACACTGTTTTACAGGAACTTCTTTACGACGGCTCATAAAACGGAGGAAAGGGTCCCGAGAGATATTATTAATAGGAACGTTATCCCTACAGACAAAAATCAGAAGATACAATTGATGATTTACTATAAAACAAGAAAACAGCCAACCTACTCATGACGAGCTCTCCAGACACCAAACAGAACGCCCTGAAGGAGACCAACGTCGTCTATGCCTCCACATGCCCACTTGGGGACTGTAAGCCCCAAAGATCTCAGTATATAGGCAAGACAACAACGTCTCTTTCCAGGCGATTAACAATGCACAAACAACAGGGCTCCATCAAGGAACATATAATATCCTCACATAACCAGACCATCACCAGAGAAATCTTAACAAGCAACACAGAAATTATCGACAGATACAACGATAACAGGAGACTCGACATCAGCGAGGCACTACACATCAAAAAGTCAACACCAACAATCAGGTTTGACTTTACCCACTTCAAGACCCCGAACCAACATAGAAGCAGCAAGAGAAAACACGCAATATTCCCACTGATTCGTGTTTTGAACTATCTTTACCCATTGATTTGTGTCGTGTCACCTCACCCAAAAACAAATATAAGCATGAAACAGAGTATATAAAATTGTCTTTGAAAATGTAAGAAGTGTCTTGCAAAACGCTTCTAGGCGTCAGACTATAAATAAAGTATGAAAATGAACTTTGGAGAGTTAATTTTTCCATTAACCTTCGACAGTGAAGAAAAACATAAGAAATATTGAGAAGATTCGTGTTAGAATAATTAATCTTACCCCTTTCGGTCATATTCAACAACAACAACATATATATAATATATATATATATATATATATATATATATATATATATATATATATATATATATATATATATATATATATATATATATAATAGAAAATATAAATAGAGTGAAGGGATGGTACCAGCAGGGAAGGAGACGACCACACTGTCACTCCTCAGTAACTACACTGTGTTATCATGGCGACAACTGTGGCCTGTTATACTCCACTCTCCGCCACCATTATCTGATCGTTATACACCCCCCCCCCCGCCACACCGACATACTCACCAGCAAGTATAACCCGCGTCTGGGTGTATATACACTGAGAGTTTACCTTAGTCCTGGACAATGTTTAGGACTAAAGTGTACTTGCTGCCTGGTCAGTAAGCGGTTGTGGTGGACTTAACAACCCTCCAGAGGTTGACAGGCCTTAAGGCCAACACCAACCCTGCCAGGGACTTGCTGGCTCGTCACGTGACCTGCTGACGTATCTGGACTGTTTATAGTCCTGTTGCTTGACTACAAACTTAAGGCAAGTTACAGCTGTAACTTGCTCACCGCTCAGCTTAATTCTTTACTGTCTAGAACATTTGTGGTCCAGTTACTGAGTCTTTATTCAGCCTGTAACTTCTCTATTATGTGCCTGTAACCTCTCTATTATGTGCCTGTAACCTGTCTATTATGTGCCTGTAACCTCTCTATTATGTGCCTGTAACCTCTCTATTATGTGCCTGTAACCTGTCTATTATGTGCCTGTAACTTCTCTATTACGTGCCTGTAACCTGTCTATTATGTGCCTGTAACCTCTCTATTGTGTGCCTGTAACCTCTCTATTATGTGCCTGTAACCTCTCTATTATGTGCCTGTAACCTCTTTATTGTGTGCCTCTAACCTCTCTATTATGTGCCTGTAACCTCTCTATTATGTGCCTGTAACCTCTCTATTATGGGCCTGTAACCTCTCTATTGTGTGACTACACAATAGAGCCTCTATTATGTGCCCGTAACCTCTCCCCAGTATTTTTTTTCAGGGATATTCCAGCGCGGGCCCTAAGCCTCTGGCTGGCCCACTGGGCGGGCCCTAAGCCTCTGGCTGGCCCACTAAGTGTTACTTGTTTCAGTTTTACTTGGGCGGAGTATGAGTATTTATGATTCGTATGGTCGCTTCGTCAGCAAGAGCATGTTCCAAAGCCTTTTGAATGGCTAGCATCTCTGTTTTTAAATTTTTTAATTTTGCCCCGAGGGGCGAGTTTATTGGGCAGCGCCACTCATCTTGTGAGTGGACACACCGCCATAGTGACAGTATTGGGCAGCGCCACTCATCTTGTGAGTGGACACACCCCGCCATAGTGACAGTATTAGGCAGCGCCACTCATCTTGTGAGTGGACACACCGCCATAGTGACAGTATTGGGCAGCGTCACTCATCTTGTGAGTGGACACACCGCCATAGTGACAGTATTGGGCAGCGTCACTCATCCTGTGAGTGGACACACCGCCATAGTGACAGTATTGGGCAGCGTCACTCATCCTGTGAGTAGACACACCACCATAGTGACAGTATTGGGCAGCGTCACTCATCCTGTGAGTGGACACACCGCCATAGTGACAGTATTGGGCAGCGTCACTCATCCTGTGAGTAGACACACCGCCATAGTGACAGTATTGGGCAGCGCCACTCATCCTGTGAGTGGACACACCACCATAGTGACAGTATTGGGCAGCGCCACTCATCTTGTGAGTGGACACACCGCCATAGTGACAGTATTGGGCAGCGTCACTCATCTTATGAGTGGACACACCGCCATAGTGACAGTATTGGGCAGCGTCACTCATCTTGTGAGTGGACACACCGCCATAGTGACAGTATTGGGCAGCGCCACTCATCCTGTGAGTGGACACACCGCCATAGTGACAGTATTGGGCAGCGCCACTCATCTTGTGAGTGGACACACCGCCATAGTGACAGTATTGGGCAGCGCCACTCATCTTGTGAGTGGACACACCGCCATAGTGACAGTATTGGGCAGCGCCACTCATCTTGTGAGTGGACACACCGCCATTGTGACAGTATTGGGCAGCGCCACTCATCCTGTGAGTGGACACACCGCCATAGTGACAGTATTGGGCAGCGCCACTCATCTTGTGAGTGGACACACCGCCATAGTGATAGTATTGGGCAGCGCCACTCATCCTGTGAGTGGACACACCGCCATAGTGACAGTATTGGGCAGCGCCACTCATCCTGTGAGTGGACACACCGCCATAGTGACAGTATTGGGCAGCGCCACTCGTCTTGTGAGTGGACACACCGCCATAGTGACAGTATTGGGCAGCGCCACTCATCCTGTGAGTGGACACACCGCCATAGTGACAGTATTGGGCAGCGCCACTCATCCTGTGAGTGGACACACCGCCATAGTGACAGTATTGGGCAGCGCCACTCATCCTGTGAGTAGACACACCACCATAGTGACAGTATTGGGCAGCGCCACTCATCCTGTGAGTGGACACACCACCATAGCAGAATGTACAACACTCCCCAATAGGAAGAAAACCCGCTGGGTTGTTCATCCTGTCACTTGTACCCAGACACAGCTGGGACTTGCTTAACTGTCTCAAGTGAACAGCTCCTCAAACAAGAAGATTAACATCTGTCAACCCTTAAAAGCTTACGTTATCTTGCGGGTGCAAAATGGGGAAATTTTTTAAGAACAGTATCAATATTTGTTTGTAAAGTCGAACACCCATTTGAGAGCCTCCAACTATTTACAGAGTTTCCTGCTTTAACTGCAGCTCCGGTTTCTTGTCCCTGCTGGTCTACTGATCCATCTGTGAAGTAAGTGAAGCTGTCGGATGCCAAGTTTGCTTCTATATGCATCTGTGCAATGTTACGTAGCAGATGAGGATTGTCTGGATCTTTTTTCCTTCAAGAGCCATAATCTTAAAGTCTGCTGGCAGAGATTCCCAAGGGGCTTGCATAACAAAGTCTGCATGTATTTCGTCGACACCCTTCTCAGTGACTGTGTTATATCGAATGTATTGATGGTGTTTATCGCACAATGGGTCCACCTGTTGCTATTGGAGGCTCTTCTGTCCAGAGTTAGTGCTCCAGTGATTATATCTTTAAGTGAAATGATTCTAGGTCTAGTCAATATCTTGGTCACCATGCACGCAGCAATCCCCTTTACCCTTATTTCAATCGACGTACTTTGGTTTCTAGTCTCAGGTTCAGTATTTTAGTCCATCTGGGAGCTCCTGTTATGACTCGCATTGCATCATTTTGAATAACCTCAACGTTTGATACCCCGCAGTATGTGACTGTAACCTCTCTGTAATCGCCTACAGGATGAGTATTGGGTACATAATTATTATTGCATAAATCACTAAATTAAAGAGTCCCAAATAACGATTCTTATTTGCTCAACATGATGCAAGTAATTAATGTGTTGTTATATGCATAATTGTCATAGTTGTGATAGTCATGACCTACAACTGTTGTAAGTGGCGCAGGAAAAGGTGATTAAGGAAATTTATCCTACGTCTGGCAGGGAAGATGGCGCCAGCGTTGCCAGCTCAGTGGCAGTGTTACCAACTACTCCCAGATAAGTGCGGTCATTTAAATATTGACCACCAGGACAACTTTCTTGCAAGAATCATTATAGATGTTTCCAATGTCATGATCAACAATGACAAGATCAGTGCGGCATACCGCCACATTGGCAGGCAAGGTCAGGGAGGTCAGACAAGGTCAGGCGAGGTCATACAAGGTCAGTCAAGGTCACGGGAGGTCAGACAAGGTCACGGGAGGTCAGGGGATGCCAGACTGTGACACCTCCCAGTGAGAGGAGGGAGTCTTCAAGAGCAGTAAGGTAGCCAGGGGCTCCCACACAACAATAACTGCGTCTTACACAGTACTTGACCCATCCCGGCTAGTACTATCCTGAGTCCTGTGTGACTATCCTCCTGGCTCACAACCCGTCCTCCTCATAGTACGTCGCATTTTGACGTATACTCTCCATGAGGACAAAAATCGTCGTACTAGAAAATAGAAGTGGCTCGAGAAATTGACATACTGTCCCGTTTTCTGTTTTGGGTCCTCTGGCAGGTTAGGATAAGGGCACTTTAGCACGACCGTTTCTTGACGTAGGGGAACCTTAGAAGGACGGGGGTGATCCGTGACGGGAGAATGTATAGTATCAATAAACATTACCCCCGTCACGCAGGCCTGTTAGTCACACAGTGTTCGTCACAAGTTCACCAGTTCCCCCATACAGTCTTCTAGAGAGATGAACACTGTCACCAGTCAGCTCCGACTCGAGTGGGAACTTACTGGTCAGCGTGACGGGAGTGATTGGGCTGACAGTCATGGTGAGTGGCGGACCACTCGAGGGTCTCACGGTCAATGGTGATAACTATGGTAAAAATGTTTATTGCTTGTGATGTGTGTTTATATATATATATATATATATATATATATATATATATATATATATATATATATATATATATATATATGTATAAATATATATATATATATATATATATATATATATATATATATATATATGTATAATATATATATATATATATATATATATATATATATATATATATATATATATATATATATATATATATATGTATATATATATATATATGTATTAACACTATGTACTGAACGGGGTGAGAATAGCTTGAGCTGCTTCATCCCTTTGTGTGTATTTTACCTCAATAAACTTATTTCAATTTCAATGGTGGTCAGCGTTAGAGGGCAGGTTAGTGGTGAAGGGTGACTGGCAGGTGAGCGTCTACCATCTACCCCGTGGCCAGCGTCTACCATCTACCCCGTGACCAGCGTCTACCATCTACCCCGTGACCAGCGTCTACCATCTACCCCGTGGCCAGCGTCTACCATCTACCCCGTGGCCAGCGTCTACCATCTACCCCGTGACCAGCGTCTACCATCTACCTTGTGACCAGCGTCTACCATCTACCCCGTGGCCAGCGTCTACCATCTACCCCGTGGCCAGCGTCTACCATCTACCCCGTGGCCAGCGTCTACCATCTACCCCGTGGCCAGCGTCTACCATCTACCCCGTGGCCAGCGTCTACCATCTACCCCGTTGCCAGCGTCTACCATCTACCCCGTGGCCAGCGTCTACCATCTACCCCGTGGCCAGCGTCTACCATCTGCCCCGTTGCCAGCGTCTACCATCTG